GGGATAACACATATTCAACACGTTATACATGTACAATCGTCACGTGTGTTATTGTCCGTTTACTGACGCCGGTGTTACTATTACGTGATAATCAATGCTTACGAAGAGATAACAGACCACACCGTATCGCGCCACGCGACCATGTTTTCGCAAGTTTGTTAATGAAAGCTAAACACGTCCGTGCTCTGTAAGCTCATTGTTTGGAATCGGGGACGCGTCGCGTCGTCCGCGGAGTGAATGACGGATATCCTCGGAGGCGGTGCGTACGCGCAAATATCGAGATTCGGGTCGCTACTTAAGATACACGATATTTTGCTGCCAAGACATTTTATGTTCTATCGTAAATATAAAAAAATATAACTTGTGACTCTGAAAAGGATGATTCTTTTGTAATAATATTATATAACAACACTTTTGTAACACTATTTGGATATATATTACAGATAAGAAAAAAATTGAAAATGTTTGAAAAAAACATGTAGAAGAGCAAGCGAGATAATCTACTTTAGATTCCCTTAAGATTACGTTATTTAATTTAATCCTAAGATGCGGATGAAGAATGATAAAGTTTTAGATGAAGGGCCGGAAGATAAAAACAAAAAAAAATCAAGAGAATGTGAGAGACTTGGAATAATTTTTTAGCTCTCTTATTATATCTTTGAGTGTGCCATTTATTATTTCTTTTTTTTCGTCAATGTTACAAATGTACTTGAATACATAATTTTATAGAGCGCCGCGTACCACAGAATCGTCCCTGATTTCGAGGGACGCTCTCGGTAGCGCGCATTTAACACTGAATGGTACAGTTGTTCGAATTCCCGTGTATTTCTGCACGATGCACGAGGTATAGAGGCTTTTATGTGAGGCAATTTATATGAAATAATTTTACGGTTGCAAGAGAAAAACAGTATTTATTATTTCGACGCGAGTATTATTTATTAGCCGCGCTAATTAACACTCTGATGAGCTCAATATTGCCGCTGAATGTCGTTTGTAGATTATACATATAGCATCTGCATTTATCTTGGGACTTTGTTGTCGCGCGGATAATGCAAGTTAATTGGCAGACGAGACCTTCGTCTTCTCTCTGTCCAGCATGCTTCAAAGTGTGATTTGTGTACAATTATTCGCGCGATTGCCGCGAACGAATGAACGAATAACGCGCCAAGACTCGACTTCGTATCGCGAGGTATCGCAAGATGACTCGCGAGACTCGGATAAAAACATTATTCGCATGCAGCGCGCGTTTCGCTGCCTCGCGCGCCGCCCGCATGTTCAGTGCCATTCAGTGCCACGCGTTGCATCCGCGGTAAACGTATCGTCCGCTCGTGAAGAGAAGCGTGGAAAAGAGCGAGAGAAAGAGCGGCCGCGTGCATCATTATCGCGCAATCAGGTATATATACGATCCGCGTCTTCCTGCGACGCCGGAAGATCCGGACGCCGTATGCGAACGCTGTGAATCGTGATTCCGGCCGCGTTTAATAGAGCGGACCGAGGAACGTGACCCTTCTTTTCTGTTACTACGTGCGCGAATACGACAATGAAGCGGACGAAGCCCGTCAATGACACAGAGGGATATCAATGGTGATATCGCGCGACGATAACGCGTTCGATCAAGGGCGCCGGAAAAGGAGCGCATCGACGGACTTTCGGCTGTTCCGGCGAATATTTTTAGCGTCTATACAGCCGAGACACTATCTCATACGGACACGATAAAGTCGACGAGTATCCCGCGTATATAGAGAGTTAATTGCCGTTGTTCGGAGCGAGCGAACTGGGTTAGGTTAAACGGATAATGAGCATTTCACGCATTTCATTGAGAAAGTATCATCCCGTTAATAGCCTCACGGCGTTAATAAATTCCGACGAAGCTTCGTGAAAAGATATCGCGCGCTCAATGGTGTTGCGTAAAAGATCGAACTGCTCTTCCGCATTTTTCTCTCGTTTCGCCTCGGAAGGAACGCTGGCGTGAAGGAAATGAATTGAATCTCGACCGCCTTATCCGAATTGATCGGGATTAATGAAATCCGAGGAATTCTCTTCGAGTCTAAAATGAATTCTGATACGGCGACTTATTTTGCAAGATTTCGAAAGTTTGTACACTTTCTACGTAACATTGTCAGCGGATCAAGGCAAGCGATATGACAAATCGGTAAATAATTATAGCGGAGAAAACGTTGCGAAAAAAGTTTTGTCTGTGCGTTACGAATGCGGATTTTAGCGACCAAAACTGACGATCGTTGAAACATACGACTTGGTCGCGTGTCGTTGAAACAACGTGATTTTGCGGCGACACGATTACGCTGCATGAATAAAAAGGTCGGTGTGTTATACGCGATCGACGGAGAAGGTTTTTCCGGCACGCCTCGACTTCCTTCGTCCCTGAACCGTTGAATCTCATCGGCGGTTTTACGAGTGGCGCGCCGATCCGAGAAGTTAGTTTCCGCGTGCTTAAAACAAGCGCAGGGTCTCTCTCTCTCTCTCTCTTTGATTGCGATTAGTATGTACTATTCTCGTACATGACGCACGTCAACGCTTTAACTGCACTCAACGAGATTCGACGTGATTATTAGGGAGTTTTTGCAATACCGCGCGTTTATCCTAGATACGCTCAAGTCACGTTATCCTTTTCTTAATTAGTTGTGAAGAAAAAGTGACTTTAGCGTTCAGGGATAAACGATATTGCAAAAACTCCCTATAGCTTGTCATTTCGCTGGCGTAGTTTGCAACGGAAGATATACATTGCCTATGAGGTCGCGTGTGTAGATACAAAACAGGATCGAGCTTTTCAAGAAGCACAGAGAGAGGGAGAGAGAGAAACGAAATCGCCACACTCTTTGACCACCGTGTCCTTGAACGTCGTTAAAATTAGCGCTTCTACGTTACAATTTTCCTACGGTGTGGCGCGAGAGGTATCATCGCCGCCGCGCCATTTCGAATGTTTACATTAATTTTAGATATTAACGGGCAACACCACGAGTTCCGCGGATAACTCTTGACGTCACGTCATGGGCGAACCATAAGAGAATGGGATAATGGCAGAACTGGGCCAGATCTTCCTAGAACTGCGCCGAAATCGTTGTGAAATGTAGATCAGGAATGTCTGCCTCGAAGAGGCGTGGACGTCGGCGTGCCAAAGATATTTACATCAAATTCGTTGCATTCCGCCGAAAAACAATGAAACCGAACAAAATTTGAATCACTTAAGAAGCTGCGTTAATTGAGCTATCGATCTAGAAATTGAAATTGATATTCTACATTTTATTATTAACTGCCGTTCTGGATTTCTCTCTCTCTCTCTCTTTTCTATTTGATCGTATCATACATTTTAAGTTATGTTTTTTATTATACTTCTTTTATTATATTCTTGTATAATGTTCTTAATATTGTATTAATTTTTTGTTGTTATTATATCACTAACAACGTTGTTGCAACAATCTACGCCGCACGTGTATGTTTATTAATTGCCTTTGCTTCCAAGATTTTTTCGCGTTAGTCATACGCGATTCTATTTAGAGAAGTCTAAATAATAGATAATTCTCGCGGGAAAGAGAGAGAGATACCCAAGATGAAAAAATACGATGTTTATCGGAATAATTCTTAAGAAAAAATGCGATTGTCAAACAATTAACACGCTGAGATTTCTTTTCGACTCAAAATATTCTCAATCTCTGCATGCACTAAGCCACGCGAAGTTAATTTGTGATTATGATGGTAACGCGGTACGGAAAAACGTTGTGGGAGGCGAATTTGTAGACTGACCGTTCATTAGATAATCATGGTCTACATTCTTGGAACATCTGCTAACGCGGAATCATAAAGCGAGCGGCTCTCAGTTTTATGAAAAATGTGATATGGTTTGTACATTTCACCGAATAACGCTCGTTTATACGTGCCTCTTGGGAAATGTATTCAACCGTGATCGCAATTGATATTAGAAAGTATGACGTGATTTTGCAATAGCATGTTGTTACCGCACGACACTCACAAACCCCCTGCTTTCCGGTTTTTTGAATAAAATTGGTTGAAACTTGCAGGTTTCTATTGTGTAAAGGTCATTAACAAATGTTCGTATTACATGAATATAGGTATAATTGAAGGGAATATTCGATGCAGGAGGTGTATTTTGGATCTAGAATTATAAATTAAATGGACAAAAGAAAACATTAATTCACTTTAGATGTAATTTTTATAATTTTATCGATAAAATGCTATTAAAATATTATTTTAATAAACGCTTTTGTCGTTATATTTATGATTAGTTTTATCACGTTGGAGGCAATTTTTCTCTATAATTAGTCTCATCATGCTGCTTTTGTTGCATTATTATTAAAGAATTCATTTAAATTGCATAGAGCTTAATTTCTTTCTTTCGTACCATCAGATGTTCAAAATGAAATGTATAAATTACAAACTTTTATGATTTACTGTAGTAGTTGTACAAATAGGTATCTTGTTCAAGAAGAAGATTACCATTTTACATAGCATTCGGATCAACAAATGGTGTCTGCGATTTGAAAATACTTAAGTGTACTATTGAAATAATTTAAAACTGCCCGATACGTATAATTTAATCCGGCGTGATAATGTTATTTCGTACATACAAGAATTAATAGAACCAAATCCTTTCGGTGGCAATCGCGCGCGCGCGTACACAGTTTTGATTTATTTAGCAAAAATTCTAAATCGTTGAACAAGCCACGTGCTCCCCTACAGAAACATTAAACTACAGATACTGCTTCTTCAGCTTCATTGCTACGTATTTGGCGATGATTTCTTCCTTATTTGCAGACTCACATAACTCACATTCTCACTTGACGCGTATACTTTCCGCAGGGAAAATATCTGCGAGTATATCTTTTTTATTCTTCACATTCACTCGTACAGTTTATTTGAACTCGACAATACTCCAAAATATGAAAGTCTCCTCGGATTCTTTTGCTCTTATGAACATATCTGTGTTATTCCGTTTGTATTATTAAGTATAATATTTACCGCAGGTGAAGATCCAATGCTCAGCGACCAACAGCAGTATCGATACATGACTGTTGATGACATTAAGTCCATGGGGGATGACTCAATGCGCGTAAACGTGACGGACGACGAGAGAGATAATCGACATTCCGGAGGTAAGTAAACGTATCTATACTTTAATCTTCACGTACCTACGTTTCGCCAGATATTAGCCAGAAGAATATCGTTAAATCTGCTACCTGTGCTGCTTCCTGTGATTCTTTTGCATCAGTTATTGATGATTTTGCTGAAAATTTATAGATTGGAATTTATTCTACATTTACGTATTCTCTCTCTGTTGCGATATTATTTTTAAACGATTCTATCTATCTTATCCATTGTTTATACAATTCTACTGATAATTCGATAATTTTGCTGTATTGGTAGATTACACAAGGAACGCGAGATAGTATAGCTGTATGTTTTGTAGCACTTAATATTCTGCTACGTATCGCAGAACCGAACGTTCGATTACTCTGCATATTGCGTTAATCAGATTAGCTCATCCTCGAAAAATAAATTTAACGTGCATGGCAATGTGTTTTCTAGCGCCAACCATAACAGAGATGATTACGAAAGAACATTATCAACGTACAAACGCGGCCAATCTTAAGCCAGACAATGTAGACATCAATAGGCATCCTGTGCATGTTGGGTATGTAATACTTTACATCTACTTTTTTCTATCTCATTTTAGCATTATTAATTAAAATAAAGGATATTGAAAATGACGGAGTTTCATTATCAATACACAATTATATGATTTATTTCGAAATTTCATTTAAATGCTGTAATATAAGCCCGAAAAAATACATTGTCTTCATTGTATTGAAAAGTTTTACAACAAATTTTAGCAAATACAATATTTTTAAATTTCAAGTTTTTGATACTCTTTCTTTTTAAGAGTTCATGATAGTGATAATTTTTTCTGGTTTAATCGTAAGCAAATATTTAATCGTAAAGCAAATATTTTTTTCTTCAATTGATAATTAAGACATAAAAAAAGCATTAATCACTAAGATCAAGTTGTAATTGCATGGTGTGCCGTAATAAGCGTACGTAATATTATAACATTACGACATGCTCAAAATTTGACGCATATTACTGATGATCTAATATTTACGGATTTGAACTTATTCGACAGTGAGAAAAGTGTCTTGCATATATGTAAAATTAAAAACGTTATTAATGTATGTATATACGAAACAGCCTGGAACGATTATAATTATTCTACGAAAACCATTGTTACTAGTGTCGAGTATAAATAAAAAGAAATATAATGTTTCGTATCCCTCTTATCAGATTTTGGAGATTTTAGAGATCAGACTCTATATATATGTATATGTGTGTGTATATATATATATATGTATAGCTTCTTGATATTAATTTGATGTCAAAATTTTGCTCAGTTTTACACGCAGCATTTTTCTATTGTAAATTACGGAGATTTTAAATTTTAGGGATAACATTGCTATCTAATAATACGGGAAATGTAATTCATGAGATTGTGCGACCTCCGCTATACATTATCGCGATACTGTATTAGTACTACGAAACAATAATGATGTGTATTATAGTATGATTATGTAGTTGTGTGTTGGTGAAAGTTTCTTACTGTGATTAACCCTACAGATTGGCCACTTAATGAATTACTCATTATACTTTAATTTTATCATCTTAATTTTTGATTGGTAATTGAGGAAACCTCGTATAATTACAAGCAATAACGGTGGTGGTTATTGATATTTTGTTTCAAACTTTAATCGAGATTACTTATTATTGTTATTAAAATCATGATAAATAAAACATTGTGGAATGGACGTGTTTGTAAAATATTAAATTGAAAGAATAAAATTATACATTTTGCGAATCTAGATGAAAATGTACACATATAATTGTACACAAATTCTACAACATAAATGACTTCATATTTGTTCCTATGTTGAGCTTAAAGATTATAAAGATTTACATCACTGTTATCAACGTGCGATCGTTGATAACATGTTTGTGCCTAATATCCATACGCCATTATAGATGACATTTTATTCAAATCGCGTGCAATATTTGCCTAATCATTCAAATCTGTATTAGGTTTACAAAGCACGTGGTATACCTATATTAATTTGGTGTTAAAATTCTAGAAAATACTTTTTTGATTTAAATGTGTCCGATTATATAGAAAGAAAAGTGATCATGTGTGAAAATTTAGCTTAAATAATATACTCTCGTCCATTTATTTCTTAACATCAAGTTAACTTGTATTACTGTAAGACATAATCATATAAAATCGTAACACGTAACAAATGTAGTATCGAAACACGGATTTTTATATCATTGTATTGTTTATAATGAATTTTTGTGCTACAATTTGTTTTACTTACTATTCGTGACAAGACTTGCGACAGTTTACCTACAATCATTCAACTAGCTCAACAAGAACGCTTGATATTCTAACAACCTGCTTGTTCGTAGCAAAGTTCGATTACTTACTGTTTAGCATGCTGTTTTTCATATTTCACTTGGACGAACGATTCTTTGACCAATGTATTTTTGTTTATCACCGGCGATTTGTACTAACCGCCCAGCTGATTTGAACATAGTGAAGAATGTCCGTGATGATGAAATTTCTCCCTCTTATGTAGAAAATCTTCATCGTTGTTTCGCCAATCTGTTTAATAATGCAACATTCTTAATCGGGTTATTCCTGCACATGACACTATGTATTCGAAAGAAAAGCACAGAACACTTTTGTAATGATTTATTATAAAATGAATGCAGTGACAACAAAAAAGAATGCTACTTATACGAGCGAGACAGCATGAGCATGATAAGCAAGATTATTGATTCGGATAATTAAACTCGGTTTTGTTTGGAGAATAGCGAGTCCCTAGAGTCTCTATGTACCTCGCTGGCAGCTCTCAGTACCGCACCGAAGGGACAAGGGATGTGGAGGGACAGGTACATCATTTACGTTATCTTTCCTCTCCTGCCAAATTTGACAAGCAAGTTTTCTTGTTTTAGAAATTTTGCATAATGACATGCAAACTGTAATTATTACTAGTGACACTAAACATATTATTAATATCTGTAAAAAGGAAAGTTATATTGATTACTTAAAAGTAATGGTATATACAGTTATAATGATCTGTCCTAAAATAAATGACAGGATATTAAGCATGTTATAATATTTGTAAGAAAAAGAATCGTTCTTCCAACAAATTGTGTTAAGTAGTAGACAGTAGAAAGAAGATTTCAACGCTGCAACAGCTGCTACTAGATGTTTTTCTCTTATATAATTATTTTAAGTTGAATTACTTTGCGCGGATTACGCGCTACGGAATCTGTTGCGTTAATTAGTTGGATAATAATTTTGAAGAGATTCTCTCATTCCTCTGCAGTTTAAGTTGATTTGAATTCTGGTGTACAGTCGAAGACGATCAATGTTCCAGATCACAACAGATTTCGAAGCGTCATTATTTTAAGTTTCTTTCTTCGAAGTATATGTCTTCTTTTCACAGAGTGTGAGTGCGTTACGTTTTTATCTCTACTATAATACATACTTATTATTGTTATTTCTCGTTTCGTAGTCGTGTACAATAGAAAAGTGGCTTGCGTGTGATGAGTGCACTTTACGAAATGATCAGTGACAATCATTATCATTATCATCATCATTATCATTATCATCATTACCACGATGAACAGGAGCACATTTTACGAAAACGCAACATTAGAAGACTAAAAAAGAAAAGAATCAAATGTCTCGCATTAATTGAATTTGATTTAACGAACAAAAATGTTTTGTAAAAATGTGCTGATATTAGCAATATATCATCTTTTTATTATGTCATCTCATCATCATGTTTATGAACGAATGAATACTAACGCGTTTTTTATTTTGTTCCCGATCCTCTCTGTTATTTTATTTGCGCTACTAGCAGAATTCCACAGTGGAGAAAGTAAGTGATCTTCTCATCAATCTTAGCTTCTGCAGTTTGCCGTGTATATACATCACGAATCCATCGAATTTCATTCGATTATTCTTCCTTCCATCGTTACACATAGCCTATATATGTCCCCGCACAACTCTCTGTAGCCACTGACTTTTATTATTCTTAGAAACATCACACATCACTCAGCAAACATAGCTTGTTTAAGGAGGTTCGAGCGTTAGTTGAAATCCAATTTAGAGACTTAATTTTTTAATATAATGTAGATAAAAAGAAAAACACTGTATACAAATAATCCCATAATTTGAGCAATAGTTGACCGTATAGTTTTTTTTTTTGTAATGTCATTCTGAAATTGACCATTTTAACATAGCATCTTATGGAAGACAATCGTTCCGAAGTAGATATTCATCGATTTATACACATTCAGCCAACTTAGGACTTTGAAAAACTAGGATTTACAGATGAAATATCAACAATTGTGTACAAAACAGGACAATTGGGTTTGGCCGTATGGATTTAAAGCTTTATTGTCACAAAGTTTACCTTTACCTCACGGATCGTATTAGTACATATGTAGTAACAGATAATAGTAACAGACTTGGCAACGCCGCAGTGCACAGCTAGGATACGAACTGGACAAAAGCAGCAATGACATTCTCTCTCCATTCCATTTTCTTTTTTATACAAAATCGGCCTTTATACCAATTCTGTATTTCTCCCTTATAATTCGCCATAATCTGTCACTATCCGTCACGTCGCGAAGTGCAACGTTGCCAAGTGTATACTCGATTTCTCGTTGACAATCTTATACATTTGTTAATATTCTATTCACTAATAGTTTACTAAGAATACAGCACATAAATAATATCCACAATTTATTACACTAATATTGCGCATGATTCCGAATCGTTATAATGACAATTTCTTTCGGTTACATTTTTGATTCCAAAGTAACGCTTGAACCTCCTTTAATGATCACTGAAAGATGAGCCATAAAATAAATTTGATTTCTTAAGAAATCAGTAAAACTTAATGTAAAAAATGCACGATGAATGAACAAGCACGTACTTCGCCCCTGGCGATAAATTATTCAGTAGAAATTAAGGTATGCAAACGTGGTTTACAGGCTCGTTGATGAATTTAGATGAAATTTAAAATGAAAAACAAATAAACTATGGCTACTCTTTAATAACTTCGTACTCGAACAGCCGCAATAATCGACACCAAGTGTCAATATCGTGGAAAATATCTTTGCTGAGCTCATGTCCGCTGCGCGATGTACTGTACATACATTGCACAATTCTCTTTTGAATACTTCACAGATTTATCAGTAAGATTCTCGGCGCCGACATCGTTGTATGTGGTAGTTTGAGAGCGATTGAATGAAACCAATTTGTTTTAATCGAATTAGATGACACTTTTGTTGCCTTCAATGTCGGTAGTTTAGTGCTTGCGACTGTATCACATTCATATGATAGATATCTCACGTAGAAATATTATACTCATAGATTTGGCTTATGTATGTAGCCATTTTATTTATCTATCTCTTATTTTGCCCGCTATATACATTAGACTGACGAGTAAAAAAAAATTTTTTTTTTTTTAATTGGCCTCTCAGCTCAAAAGCTTCCATTTCATGCCAAAAGAACAACTCTAAATTTTTATTAAAAAATATTAAAATTTAGAGGTCGCTAGTGAGCGATATTTAAATTAAAGTTTCGATTTTCTTTAATACTGCATGTTTGACTTGATGCAAAAATGGTTTAATTCGGATTTTAAATGTAATACTGAATGTCTTTTTGATCATTGAACACGATGCAATAATTCATTTAGCTCTACGATATACGCCTTGAGAAACAAATCGTGCTTTATTTCTTGAGGTGTAGAGCTAAATGAATTATTGCATCGTGTTCAGCGATCAAAAAGACATTCAGTATCACATTTAAAATCCGAATTAAGCCATTTTAGCATCAAGTCAAACATGTATTAAAGAAAATCGAAACTTTGATTTAAGAATCGCTCACCAGCGATCTGTAAATATATCTTAATATTTTTTAATAAAAATTTAGGGGTGTTCTTTTAAAATGGAAGCTTTTGAGCTGAAAAGCCGATTAAAAAAAAAATTTTTTTTTGCTGGTCAGTCTAATATATGGTACATACAAACACCTCGTTGTCATCTCATAAAAATGTCCACACGAATTCGACCTGTATAGATAGCTAGCTGTTTTATTTCTATCTTATTTTGCTATACATTCCCCATTGTTGTATAATCTTACTATCTTATTCACACTAAGCCAAAGTAATTATATTAATACGCACAACAATTAGGTATCGGTAGAGTGTAGTCAAATTATCTCGCATCACAAATTATCTCACTGTCACTGTAGGAAAGACACGTTACAGCTGATAATATCATGGTATTAACGCGATCAAAACGCATTGTCTCTAAATTTTAATAATAATCTCACGAAATCGTCATAATCGTTCATAGATATCACGCTTATAGTACAATTTCTCGAGGATTATGCTTTTTGGCTTTGCGCACTTTTCGTAATAATTAATTACGAATTATACAGTGCATTGTGACTGACATTAATGTTAAAATTACATCACGTATATCAGCTCAATTTTTAATTTTTTACTAAGGTGTCCGCAGGGTTGGCAGGTAACGCGTTATTTGTAACGTCGTTATATCGTTACAAGTTACTTTTTTCTGTAATGAATAGGTAACGACATTACATTTTCTTCGGAGTAATGTTCATGCACGGAAAAAACAATCATGAATGAATTATCATGATATATTTATGGTTAAGCAAATTTTGGTAGGGAAGAGAATTTCTGATTATTGTAATCAAATATTTGGTTATAGGCAACCAAACCATTTAGATATGATAATAGTTAGAATTTGGTTAGTGCGTATGTATAATAGTAATAATATCCAAATATCTAGTTATTGTACTACAAGGGATAAAAAGCATGGTTGGCTTATTATGACATATATGGTTAAATAAAAAGTATTGATAGAATTAAACAAAACTTTTCGTTAGCATTTGAAGAAGTGCGAAAATGAGTGGATAATTTTATTGCATCGAAAGATAAAACCTTCTTTGTTTCTGGAATTCGCAAGCTGGCTAAAGGTCATAGATAATAACGAGGATTATTTTGATAATTAAGTGTGTTTTCGTTTTTAAATGTGTTTGAATAAATATTAAATTTCATTAAAAACGCTTTATAACTTATTTGTACACATACTATAGTATATCACATATTATAGATAGTATCAAGAAAAAAAGTAACGAAAAAGTAACGATATTCGTTATATTTTGAGTAACCATAAAATCATAACGAGTTATTTTTTTAAGAAAAAGAACGGTAACGGTAACGAGTTATTTTTATGAGGTAACGTTGCCAACCCTGGGTGTCTGTTTATTGCGATTTCCATGAAATTTTTGTCAAACTTTATTATAACAATTGTAAATCATATTCTCTAATTTTTTTATATCGTTTACAGCGGGATCTCTTTCAGAATGCAAATAATTTATAATAAACTCATTCCATTTTCATACGGAAAATTAACGTAAATTGCTGTAAACGTTTGATAGCTCAATGATAGCACGCGCGCGAAGGTAATGTCGAGGAAACACGTATTTTGCGTACCTAAAATAAACCTTCTTGACTGTATGCATCTCTTGCAAGCAGCCTCCACATATATAATGCAATTTTTTATATTATTTCGGACAATTTCTTGTAATGTGTCGTAAGTAAATGAACGTAACATGTTCTCAAAATTTTCTCAGCTTCCTGGTTTCCTTCTTGGTGGACGCAAGAGGCGGTGCGATGCGCGGGTGCAGACATAGCGGCGTCCGCGTGATTGTTCCACCGCGTAAAGCCGCAATGCCTATGCGCGTCACGTGCAGATACTTGAGGAGAGACAAATTGACAAACCCACCGCCCTTGATGGAGGGAGAAGCATTGGCTAGCCGCATCCTCGAATTGGGTCCTGTTGCTGCAAAATTTCTGGGGTGTGTTTCTCAGACATCTTTCATGATTTTATTTTTCCATTCCGACTATACCTTCGGTTTATACTTACGTATTGCGTATTTTTGTATATTAACGATAAATGTAAAGTATTTAACTGAAGATTCGCTTTTTAAAATAATTGTATTACACAGTTGTGATATACTTATGATGACGACAAATCTTCAAATGTTAAGAATTTTTTTTGTACAGCCCTGTTATCATAGAAGTGCCACATTTCGCGTCGTTACGCGGAAAGGAACGGGAAATAGTGATTCTACGATCAGATAATGGAGAAACATGGCGCGAGCATACCTTGGAAGCCAGCGAGGAAGCTGTCCAAGATGTGCTTAACGAGAGCTTTGAGGGAGAAGGTACGATTCTTTTCTCTTTTTTCTGTAATTCCCAAGGGCAAACATTTGGAAGGATTATCTTGACATTTACATTTTCAGAGTTAAGCCAATTAGAGGATCTCCAGACGTCCCGTATCGTAAGAATACTCACCGTAGATTTCCCACATTACTTCGCAGTAGTATCTCGTATTCGGCAAGAGGTCCATGCGGTTGGTCCCGAAGGCGGCACCGTGTCGTCATCCGCTGTACCACAAGTACAAGCTGTCTTCCCGCAAGGGGCGCTTACTAAGAAGATCAGAGTCGGTCTGCAGGTATTTTTCCGTTTTCCTTCATCGATTAAATATATTAAATTTAAATTCCGATCTGCATCTTTGGCATTTAAATACGGCATTTAATTACTTACGATAGAGAGAAGCAAAGAAATTTATTATGTTTAAATCTTAAAATTTTAATCGTCTACATTTGTAAATTAAGAAATTGAAACTTCTGGTTGAAAAAGCAAAAATAAATAATTTATTATATCTGTTAATATTCTTCAAACCTAGACTTTTCCATAAATTATTTATTGTATTTAGTAAATTTATTGTTACATATAGGCACATCCTATACCAGCAGATCTGGTGGCTAAATTACTTGGAAATAGAGTAGCTGTGTCGCCGATTCTCACCGTCGAACCGAGAAGAAGAAAGTTCCACAAGCCGATAACTTTAACTATTCCAGTACCACAGGCGGCTAATAAAGGCATGATCAACCAGTATTCCGGAGATGCGCCAACTTTGAGACTCCTGTGCAGCATAACTGGTAATATATGCTTGCACGTAATATTGTAGAGCAGCATACCGTCTTACTGGAGAATCTCTTACCGATAAACGGCTAAATTAATATTACACCTTTGGTGTGCATATATGCTCTTATGAAGTTGCGTTACTGCGCATTCGGGTATCTATTCGGGGATTTATTGTAGTTTAGCAAGCATGAACGCAGTCGGTAGGCTATCTTGTCTGTTCTCAGGTCGTTCGGGACTACGATCGAACCAAGTATCGTACGTTGCACGAGAGGATTGCTTTAATGGTAGCAGCACTTTTATAACTCGTTTATGTTCAGTATGGTAAACAGTTTGTACAATTCGTGACTTGCACCAGCGTGTAAAAATGTTCCAATATAACATTTTCACTTAAATGGGAAAAATTTATTTATGTATGTGAATGTTAAAAGATATGTCATGTTTTGTCTTAAATAATTTCTTCTGCTGTCTATCGTATTATCGAGAAATGTCCCGAGGATCTTCGGATAGAGATTTAAAAGGGAGATGGTAGCTGCATGTTTCATAGAAACATTTCGTTAAGTATCATTATTGTATACATATCTTGTTGTGATTCATTGTTAATGCTTGCATATTGTTAGGATTGAGTCATTTAGGTATGGATTATTAATTAAAGTAGATATCATTTTATCTAGCCCGTTGTTAAGAGTTAACTTCAAAGTTTTTGTTTCAGCACATTTATTTGTCTGGTAATTGCTTTAATATTAGTAATTTATATAAAATTGTACTCTCATGATATATATATATATATATATAGAGGGTGTCCCAGAACGACCGCGAAAAATTACATGCACAGGTAGAACGGACCGAACTGAGTCAAAAAGCCCTGTATTGTTTTACAATTTTTGCAATAGTCAACGAGATATTAATTGGTAAAAATTACCGAATACGCGCATTCGCCCGGCCTATTACTGCCAATAGTGTACGCCCATTGATAGCTCGATGGCACGCGGTCCTGGTAAGCGCGCCACTGTCTGAGTCGCGACGTTTGGGACTCGCGGCGATGTACGCGGCATGGGACGTGGGATGCTTGGGTCATCCCCGCTCTCCGCGATCTGCAGGTTATCGAGCTATCAATAGGCGTACACTGTTGGCAATAGTAGACCGGGCGGACGCACGTATTCGGTAATTTTTACCAATTAATATCGCGTTGACTATTGTGAAAATTACAAAACGGTAAGGGATTTTTTTCTCAGTTTGACTCAATTCTTTTTTGACTCAGTTCAGTCCGTTCTACCTGTGCATGTAATTTTTCGCGGTCGTTCTGGGACACCCTGTATATAATTATACAGGGTGTCATTGACCGATTAAATCACCTATCAAGAGCAGGTAGAGTAAATCAAACTGAGCCGAAAAGTCTTATACCATTTTGCAGTTTACGCAATATTTAACACAATATACATATATATTTATATATATTTAATTATTTAAGGTCTAATATCTCGTTAAATATTGCGTAAACTGCAAAATGGTATATGACTTTTCGACTCAGTTCGGTCTACTCTACGGTCTGTTCTTGATAGGTGATTTTACACCCTGTATATATACATATATATAAATTTCGTATATAACATATATAATATATATATATATATATATGTTACATACGAAATTATATAATATAACGTCCCTCATGATATCCGATCATATAATCTAAAAATCTAATTTATAACAATATTACATATACACTGAATACTATTACATTTAAGTTTATTTTAATCGTAATCTATATACCATATCGAGAATACATTTCAAATATTACATTTTTCCTAAAATCGTTCCTAGAAAAATATATAATTGTAAATTAAATAATTAAACGGTCTGAATCGAGCTAAATAGATTTAATAATTATAATTATAAATGTATATTATAATATAAAAAAATATAAAAAAAAGTTAATTAACAAATTTGTAAGTCGTATGTTTCGCAGGTCCTTCTTCAGCGATTATTTCAGATGTATAATATTTACGTCGTTGGATTGATAATATTCTTATGAGCGTTACAAACATGTTGATATATTAATCATTGTTCGGATTGATATTCCTGTTCTCAATGCGAGTGTAGTATTGTAAAGGCATGTGAGACAGGATCGTCGTTACTAGTTCATCCGATCGAGTTGAACGCAGATATTACAATGAATTGTGATCATATCATACAAACGAAAAGTTCAAGCCATGTTCGAAAAAGGTTTAAATTTTTGAGTATCCTTTTTTAAACATGTCTTGAACTTTTCATATTTATGATATGATTTTTTTCGGATATCATTTACTTTTTAGAGTACAAATATATCACAAACATATAAAAAAAATAATTTAAAAATATTATATAACGAAAAACAGTGAAATACGGCGAAAAAGAGGGGTGAGGGAGGAGGTCCGGTGGGTCGAAGATGGTGAAGGTGAGAGGGGATGTTAGAAAGTTTTAATACGGCCTTGAATGCGGACAGAGAAGAAGGAGAAGGAGCACAAGGAGACGTTACTTAATTTTTCATTAAAATCACCACTTTTCGATCGCTTGTATCTCCAGAACGGCTTGACTGATTAAAAATTTTTTTGGCTCAAATTACTCGTGGCGATGCCGCCTTTCAGGACACATAACGTTCGATTCAAAATTTTTTATATTTTAGCAGTTATGCACCTCCTAAAAATGGACTTTGGTGGCTCGGGATAAGAGACTTGTAGTGTCTTTCAGTTTTTGAACATATCGTGTTTTCTGATATCTGCGTACAATTCATTGTAACATCTGCCTTTTAAGGATTGTATTGTTATTGTGCTGAAGATGACTCGAAATAGAGATGAAACGTCCGCATATGGTATCAAAGCTTTGTGTTCTGATTATTATAATTATAAATTGATTGTTATAATTGTAAAGTAATTCGATTCAGATCGTTTAATTATTTAATTTGCATTGCAAAAAACGAGCGAAATTTATTAATATATAATTGTATCTTTTTATTCTTCTTTTAAAATTTTGATGTCATTATTTTAATAATTTTTTAATAAAATGTATTACATACGTATTAATTAATACTTTATGATAATATTTTTTCTATTTATCATTTAATTTTTATCTTAAATTGATACACCTACGATTGCTTTCTACACATTTCGTATATAACGCTTTCTCTTAATTTTGCAAGTATTATTACGAGTATTATTTAGTCGATCATGTACTTATTTTTATATTACACTCACACATTGATAAAAAGCACTTAACAACAATGCACTTACAGCAACCGTTTTTAAATGCAAGATTTCCTTGGTCTGATAATTATTAATAAACCAACTGCTAGCTCATTAAATAATGCTGATTGCCAGCATTATTTATGCATAAACACTGATTTGTATCCAATTAATTGCTTGTATTTAATCTCGGTCGTGCCAAAATATACCACACATATTTCACTTTTGTCACTTGTGCATTTGCAACACGGACATATTTTAATAATGTTTTGGACTTGACATGTATGTCGTTCAGGGGGTCAGACTCGGGCAGTCTGGGAGGACGTCACAGGCTCGACGCCATTGACCTTTGTGAAAGATTGCGTTTCCTTTACTACTACAGTTTCCGCCCGTTTCTGGTTAATGGACTGCCGTAACATTTCCGAGGCCACGAAAATGGCCATGGAACTCTACACGCACGCGACACATGTGCCCTTTATGGCTAAGTATGTTTCGACTGATGTCACGTGACATAATTTTCAATGATAAATTACATAGATGGAAATTATACAGGAAGTAATTTTATAACTTTAATACTTGCTTTATGATAGGTTCGTCGTGTTTGCAAAACGGATAGACCCATTAGAAGCGAGACTACGTGTATTCTGTATGACGGACGATAAAGAAGACAAAACTTTAGAGCATCAGGAACATTTTACAGAAGTTGCAAAGAGTAGAGATGTCGAGGTAACTATCGACAATAAAAATGCTATCAAAGCGTTCGTGAGTTATGCATAACTTCTTAGTTACTTAAGACGTCATTAAATCGTATTTAATGCTGTAGGTTCTTGAAGGAAAAACACAATACATGGAATTTTCGGGAAATCTTGTACCCGTTTTAAAAACAGGTGAACAACTGCAATTACCGTTTAGAGCTTTCAAGGAAAATAGAGTTCCTTTTACCACGAGGATAAAGGATCCGGATGCCGCTGATATGATGGGCCGAATCATGTTTATGAGCGAACCTAAGGTTCCGAGAGGTGAACTGCCGCAAACGCCAATCTGTACACTAAATATTTTGCTGCCGGAAAATATTTCTCCTGATACCGCAGTCTCCGAGCTTGATTTATTGGAATTATCAAAGAACTACAGTTTCCTACGCGATGGTGGAATAAGTACGTGAACTATAATAGTAATAATAATAATAATATAAGATTGATAAATGATAATAATAATGTGTGTGACATAATAAAATAAAAATTAATTACTAATGACGTTTGTTATCAAAGTTTTCTATTTTACATGCTAAATATTATTTTTAGGTAGACCAGATGCAATACACAGAGCGACCATCCGATTAACAGACATCGCTAATCTATTAGATAAAGATTGGGAACCGCTAGCGGAAGAATTGAACATCCCACCCAATGACATGGCTCTAATAAAGCAAGAATATCCCGATAAACCTGCGCAACAGGCCGCTGCCATGTTCAAAATCTGGCAAAACAGTGGAAACAAAGCCACAGGTGAGACGTTACGCAATTTATTTACCTTTACATCATAGCGTATTAATTTTCAATGAATAAGAATTGTGATAGCTTGCCTTGATAATTTTTAAAAAAACCTGTTTTCCAGCAAGGTCAATTAATTATACACGCGCGCTATAGTTGAGTCAGACGCGAGGAATCTTTTCTAGCAACGTAGATATGTGATGATCTCATTGTGCATTATTATTCCTGACATAAGTCTACACGCTTCGTTCCCTCTCCTTCTTTCCTGCTAATGGCATTGACTCGCACATAACTCACGATGTTTCTGCAATCAGCAGAAATAACAAGTGGTTATGATTCCGCAGTACGTGATCGGCAGTCGCGCAGTGAAAGTGATTAAATTCTGAGCGTGCTCTGCCACTTTCTTTATTTGTACCGGTTTTACGAGTTGCTGAATTATTTGTATTTGTGTGTGAATCTCTATTACTAAGATTATTTAATATTTTCCTGTCGTATTCTCGCATTAAAATAGTACATGTTTCAAGACCGCTCCGTTTCAAATTTTTTAGATTTTAATTAATTTAATTTAAAAAAATATAAAAATAAAGAAAACGATGTTTATAACTTTATATCAAGAATATGAAAATCATAATCATTACACAAGCGAGCTTTTAATAATATTTCAAAGATGTCCTTTACGTCCACAATGTGCAATACATTCAGGTCTGTGCATCATATAAAAAAAGTGAATGAGAATATAATCAGTTATAAATTTTAACAATACGAATATCGAAATGTACCTGGCTTTTAAAACTTTTTAACACTTGTAATATTTAAAATATATTGAAGTAACGTATCACGTGTCGTCCTCTATTTGCAGGAAACACGTTAGAAAAAGCTCTCAATAAAATTGGACGAGAAGATATAGTGAATAAATGTATCTTCAATGTTGAGTTAGTGACTGACGACGTTGAAAAAGCTGTGGCGAGAGTCAGACTGGATCAGCCAGGTTTTGATTCTCTCAAGGAGGAATTGGGACCGTCGAGAAACACGTCACTCCGCCGTGATGCAACTATGGATCCTAAGATGGATCCTGATTATGAAGAGTCTGACAAAACGAAGGTGCGCATTTTATGCAAATTTGGAAGAATCTACATGCATAATTGTAGTATAATTAAAATCATCATGATGTGACAAAACAAATTATCATTAACAAAAAATGCTATTGTATCGTTTGACCTTATTCTCGTTATCTAGCGAGCGCTATTATTGAGCGCAATTGAAGAATATACGATCTGTTCATTTCATATCTTGTAATAGCTCTTTTATGTATGCTACAACAGTTAAAAGGCTTATACGTAACAGTAATTTACTCAAATAATTACTTCTTCAAGAGCGTGGGAGTCTTATAATCATCAAGATTAACCGCAATTCTCTCTTTATTCTAGGACTCTGAATCAATGGAAGATCTCAGTATCAGTGGCACACACGATAAACGTAAGTAGAAATAGTAATGTCTATAAATTGAATTTTATTACTACTCGCTCTTGCATTGCGTTTCAACGTTACATATACAATTTGTCAAAAATAAAAGATTCAATATTATACATTTTTCTTCTATTATATTACACTACAATACATACTGCAATAAAAAATGTGACATCACGGCTCACAATACTTGAATGAATAATGCACGCTACGCCACAACGCGTATTATTAGTTGTCAAATACACAGAACGAACACTTTTATTCGTGCTTACTTAGAAAACGTGTTAGTCAACGCTTGCCGGGCAATCTTACTGCGGTCACATGTATTCGTTATGCAATGTCTACACATCAGTTCATGTTACCTTTGTGTCTCTTCGTTTACGCATTTTCTGCACTTCACAGCCAAAGAGCACATCACAATCACAAACGGCACTGTATTCAACGGAACCTCGATCCCCATCAAAGACAAATACGCGAGCGACGAGAAAGAGCTTAGCGACATGATGGCTGATTACTTTGAGCACAAATGCCATACAACCGACACGATGAGCAAAAAGTCGCGTGACGAACTGGATCCGGAGAAAAAACGCCAGAAAGTGATCGCCGATGCCAACAAGATAGTCTCTGGTAAGTGAACTTGAAAGCAATTGGAATGTATGGTGGGTTGAGGGGCCGTGCTTATTACTGGCAAAGAACCGGCAACTGATATAATCGAGTTTTAGCGGAGCTACGTTGCCAAATCGAGACTGTTATACATATACATATATACTATAAATTCAGCAGCATGATTAGATTAATGCTGCGGGCGCACGCTTGATCCTAAGGGATCGACTTACTCGTATTAACCATGTGTCGACGAACTGCGTTTCGCCGGACTCGCTAAACCTTACTAGATCGGAGATACCTTTCCTTTAGTGATATCGTGTTCATAGTTATGAAGTATACTCGCTTAAAAGATTTTCAAATAATGCACGAGATGTACATTATTTTTCTCGAATAGCTTCATCATTTATTTTTACGCGTTTAGTATTATTTTCTCTTAATGTACTATTTTTCGATGAATTTTCACATTATACATTCCTATAAACGATTATTTCTTCATTTGTAAATTGATATATATCACCGTTATGCAGTTTGTCGCAACAAATGCACATAATTATTTTTAATTATATTGGTGTATAGACTATTATAATATATGTATGTCAATAACGTAGTTTCTAAGTAGCTATATTTCAATGCTAATCGATCTCGTACATTGAATTTTCACTTGTGACTTATTATCGTCATTTATGAAGCAAGCTTTAATTTTTACGTAAGTATTCAATCAAACAGTTGTGCACGATCTTATTTCAGCGAAACGTTGCGGTCGAATAAATGTTATAATACAATGAATATAAGGAATATTATTATTTTTATGATTCTGGACACGATTCACGTCAATGCATAAAATTTGTCTCATAAAGAAAACTGTACGTTTGCAGAGTGCAAGTAACGTACATAAGCACTAAATATTTGTTTCTACGCCGTTCACTCACAGGTTCTGGAAGCCAATGCGGATCTCTTCGGAATTTTACCAGCTTGCTTTTTTATTTTATAAATAATAACGGATTATTTTATCTCGGCCTTAAACAGCTATTACTTATATAATATACAATAATTTTTATATCTCATTTAATCATCCCCACTAATATCCTTAATACTTCGCGAACACTTTTAGATTAATTTGTTTCAGCAAGGTTTCGCTGCAATTATTTGGCGTTGCATGAATGGCCAATATGTGGGCCTAATTGTGTGCTCGCACGGAGCAGCTGTCATTAGAAAAGATCGTTGTCGCGTGGGCTATCAGAATATTGTTTCCTTTACCTATATAACTGATAGATTAAAAATTACTAAAGTCATTACTAATAGCAATTGACTGTTGTTGTCACTTAAAACAGTAATCAAGAGTTTTTTTACGAAGCTGAATATATGTCCTTTATATTCTCTAACAGCTTCATTTTAATATCTTTAGCGTCTTTCATTTTAGTATCTTTAACTAATTCATTTCATAGTTAATATTATAATACTAATTGAAGTATTTTCATAGAAAAAACATTTCGAAGTTGCAAGCTACTGGGAACATTTCAATACAATTTATTGAAAAGTCAAAGTACGTAGTATAATATACGTTGCATATTACAAAGTACGTAGTATAATATAATTGCTACCAACAATCAATACTGATATTGATTGTTGGTAGCAATTGATGTTACTTCTCCTTCTTAAATCACACTTGCCTTGCGTATATAACGATGTAGTGAAAAGATGGCTGCTCCACAGCACATACACTCCACGCACAAACCACACTACTACAGTCTAACCGCAGTTCAATCAAAAGAGCAATCAAAGAGCGAGCCAGCTTACACTAATGATGACGAAATTGACAATAAAATTGTGTTCCTTTATTTTGCTACCACGTATACAGATGCCTAAAATATATATTATACTTAATTAACAGGTGTAATAGCAGACGCAGAGAAAGAGAAGGGGAAGTTAGCGAAGGAAGGGTGGTCGGTGGTTTATGATGATGATGATGCGCGGGACAATAAAGAGGCGCGGGGTGCGATAGGGCAGACTGTAATTAATGTTCATGTAGATCAAGCGGCCACCGAGCCGGAAGGTTTCGTTCCCAAATTAGAGCAAATCTCTAGTATCGAACCGCCGATGATTAAGCAACATCGTGGTGGGACGCCGGATCCCAAAGTTAGCACTTCAAAAACAATTGTTTCTGTTAGTAGTGATCCGAAAGTAGGCCAGACAGTAGTAACTAAGACTACGGTAATAAAACAGACTCCGACTGAGACCGTGACTACGAAAGAAACGGTAATTGTTCTCCCCGATAAAAAAGACGTTGTTAGCGAGAAAGAGAAACTGTCTAAAGAAGGTAAGGAAGTCGACGAAAAGTTAGGCGCAGCTCCTACGGATGCGACTGTTACTCGAAAAACGGTAAAGGCTGGCGTAATAGTTCAAACTGATCAAAAGAAATCAGAAATAAAAACTCCAGCAGACAGGGATAAAGATAAAGATAAGGAAAAGAAGGATAAAGATACTGTAACAAAAACTGTGAAAACATCGGCTTACGAAGATGTTTACAATGTGCCACATTCGACAGACAGCATGGAAGATAAATCAGACGAAGAGAAGAAAACGAAGGATAAGAGCGGCGGAATATTTTTGGGAATTTTTAAAGGCTCCAAATTAAAGAGAGGCAAGAAAGGTTTTAAGGACACGTCCTTTGATAGTGGTGACGAGGAATCGAAGATAGTCGTAACGAAAGTTTCAGAACAACAACCAGAATTTCTCTCTAGCGAAGTAACGAATTCGCAGTTTGACAGCAGATTACCAGAAATTACAACTGCACCCGATGTGAGAACAGCTACTGTGGAATTTTTGGAAGATTCTCGACGAATTGCTGCAGGTATGCATGTATCTTACGAAGGTCTTGTTAAGTCAGTGGAGAAGGAAGACAAAAAAGCAGATGCTGCCGAGACCGATGATGACGATAAAGATAAGATGAGTTTCTTCTCGAGTTTGTTCAAAAGTAAGTCTAAAAAAGATGAAGATGGATCTATCTTACCTGTTATACATGTTGAGAAACCTAAAGAATCTGCAGAGCAAATTGCAAAAAAAGAGAAGAAAAAGCTAGCAGCAATCGCAAAGGAAAACGAGGAATTGTTAGAATTACAAATGAAGGAAAAGGAAAAAGAGGCTGAAGCATCTCAGATTATCGAAATGCCTTGTATAATTGAACAAGAAACGGAAAAAGCTGTGAAAACCGGCGCGAAAGTTATCGAGGATGCTAAAAGCAAAGCAAAGATCACTTTGGATGAACAACAATCTAGTAAGGATGATGAAAAAGAAGAAGATCAAATAAAGGAAAAGGGTGGCTTCTTCGGCATCTTTAAGAGTCCAAAATCCAAAGAGAAAAAGCTCAAATCGAAGGAAACATCTTTTGATAGTGGCGATGAGGAAATCAAAGCCGTAACGGAGAAACTCTTGGATGACATGCGGAAGGTAGCTGACTCTACCGTGTTACCGATCGCATACAAAAGCGATAATACAAAAGTCACTCCTAAAGAAGAGATACGAACTTTTGTGTCGACCACTCATTACGAAGATGTTCTCGCTGACAAAGTCAATAAATCTTACGATATTGTTAAAACCACGATGAAAATGGAAAAGACTATCCACGAAGAGGTAAACGGGAAAGCGGACATTGACAAGGAAAAAATTCAAAAGGAAGAGAAAAGAGATGTTGAAAAACCTACTGCAGAAATAAAATCTGATACGCCGGAATCCAAAGCACCCGAGACAGAGAAAGAGATGGGCGACGATATCAAAGAAAAGAGTGGCGGCTTTTTCAGTATGTTTAAGAGCCCAAAACTCAAAAGTAAAAAGAGAAATAGATCTCGAGAACAAAGTTCTTCTAAGGAGACCTCTTTTGATAGCGGAGACGAAGAAGTTCGATTAGTAACGGCGAAGCTTCTAGAAGACACAAAACAAATGGCAGAGAATCTGCAGCATCAAGCTGAAGAAAAGTTATCAGAGAGGATTATAAAAACTCCTCCTACAGAGGAGGAAATAAGAAAAACTATCATTCCTGAAGATGAAGCCGTCGAAAAAGATAAGGGAGGCGGCATTTTCGGTATATTCAGAAGTCCTAAACAAGCGAGAAGTTCCAGATCCAGGAGTAGATCTAAGGAGAAGACACCTTCGCTTGAATTGCCAGATAGTGGCCACGACGATTTACGAGAAATAACTGCAACGTTCTTAGAGGATTCACGGTATATGGCAAATATCATGGGTGAATTGACAGATTCGAAAGATAAAGATGATAAATTGTCAACGGAGATAAAGAAAATTGACCATTACATTACAATTGCAGCAGAAGACGTTAGTAAAGTTACGAAGGATGGTAAAGACGTGATTGCTAAAAAAGTAGAAGAGAAAACACGTGATGTCGTGGATAGCACTGAAGCCGCAAAAGACAGAACGACCAAGGAAACGAAGAAAGCAAAAGACAAAGGTGCAGGATTTCTATCTGGCATATTTAAAGGTACGAAGCACGCTGTAGAAGATGCGACAGATGATATTAGAGAATTCTTAGATGAGACGAAAAAAGAAGCTGAAATGGAAAAAGAACGTGCTAAAGAGGAAACTGCTGCAAGTTTAAATGATCTGAAAGATAAAAAGGACACTGCTGTTAGTGAAGTTCAAAGAACTATGGATAAAACTATCGATAAAGCAAAAGAAGCAAACGATAAAACGGTCTCTATAATAAAAGACAGAAAAGATAAAGTTGTCGAGGAAGTTTCCAAAGATACGGAGAAAGTTGCCGATGCCACGAAAGAAGCTGGTGAGAAAGTAGCACATGAAACCAAGAAAATCAGTGAAAAAGTGGACGAGACTGCGGCAGAAGTTGCACAAATTGCACAGTATACTAAAGATGCAGCAATTAAAGAAGTAAAAGATGACACAAAGTTAGTGAAAGAAAAATTAGCAGCTGGCGCTGATGCGGTAGCAGAAACTGCGGACGGCACAAAGGAAAAAGTAACAAAAGAAGCGAAGAAAGCTAAGGAAAAAACAAGTGGTTTCTTTTCTGGTATTTTTAAAGGTGCGAAACACGCTGTAGAAAATGCGACAGACGACGTTAGAGAATTTTTAGATGAGACGAAAAAGGATGCAGAAATCGAAGAAGAACGTGTCAAAGAAAAGGCTGCTGCAAGTCTGAAAGATCTGAAAGATAAAAAAGACACTGTTGTTGGTGAAGTTCAAGAAACAATGGATAAAACCACCCATAAAGTGAAAGAAGCAAAAGATAAAACAGTTTCTGCACTAAAAAACAAAAGCGATGAAGTTGTCGAGGAAGTTGCCAAAGATGCTGAGAAAGTTGCCGATGACACAAAAGAAGCTAGTGAGAAAATAGCAGATGAATCTAAGAAAATCGGAGAAAAAATGGAGGAAACTGCAGCAGAAGTTGCACGAATTGCCAAGGATACTAAAGATGCAACAATTAAAGAACTAAAAGGAGATGCAAAATTAGTGAAAGAAAAATTAGCAGTTGGCACTGATACGACAGCAAAAACTATGGACAGTGCAAAGGAAAAAGTGACAAAAGAAGCGAAGAAAACTAATGAAAAATCAGGTGGTTTCTTCTCCGGTATTTTTAAAGGTGCAAAACATGCTGTAGAAGATGCGACAGACGACGTTAGAGAATTTTTAGATGAGACAAAAAAAGAAGCTGAAGTCGAAGAAGAACGTGCTAAAGAGAAGGCTGCTGCCAGTCTGAAAGATCTGAAAGATAAAAAAGATACTGCTGTTAGTGAAGTTCAAGGAACTGTGAAAACCGCTGATAAAGAAGCAAAAAATAAAACAGTTTCTACACCAAAAGATAAAAAGGATGAAGTTATCGAGGAAATCTACAAAGAAACGCAAAAAAATGCCGACGCTATGAAAGCAGCTAGTGACATAGTTGGAGCAGAAACCAAGAAGGTTAGTAAAAACGTGGAAGAAACTGCAACAGATGTTGCGCATGACCTTAAGGATAGTAGAGATGCAACAGTTAAAGAAATGAAAGAAGATACTAAATTAATGACTGAAAAATGGCCAGCAGGTGTTGCTGCTGCAGAAATTGCAGATAGCACAAAAGATAAAGCTACGAAGGAAACGAAAAAAGCTAAAGAAAAAACCAGTGGTTTCTTCTCTGGCATCTTTAAAGGTGCAAAGTATGTCGCTGAAGATACATCTGATGATGTTAAAGAATTTTTGGATAAGACAAGAAGGGAAGCTTCTTTAGAAAAAGAACGTATTAAAGAAGTTGTGACAAATACTAAAGATTTAAAGGATAAGAAGGATACAGTTGTAACCAAAGTTCAGCAAACTGCAGACGCAGTCTTCTTTGACGTAAAAGAAGCTAAGGATAAAACTGTTTCTGTAATAAAAGATAAGGAAGATAAGCTCGTAGAAGAAGTTTCGAAAGATGCTGAGAAAATTGCCGATATAGCAAAAGCTGCCGGTGAAGAAATAACAGCAGAAACAAAGAAATTTGGTGAAAAAATGGAATATGCCGCTGTAGATGTTGCGCAAGCTATCAAGGAGACTAATGATGCAGCTGTTAAAGAGGTAAAGGAAGATACGAAAATAGTAAAAGAAAAATTAGCTTTAGGTGCTGATGCTGTAGATAACACAAAGGATAAAACGACAAAACAGGCAAAGAAAGCAAAAGAAAAAACAACTAGTTTCTTTTCCGGTATTTTTAAAGGTGCTAAGAATGCCGTAGAAGACGCAGCTGATGACGTTAAAGAATTCATTGATGAAACGAAAAAGGATGCTGCGCTTGAAGAAGAACGTGCCAAAGAAAAATCTGCTGCGAGTATAACAAATTTGAAAGACAAGAAAGACACACTCGTTACTGAGATTCAAGAAGTTGTAAATAAATTAGATAAAGTTGTTGTTGAAACGAGAGATGCAAAAGAGAAAACAATCTCTGCAGTAAAAGACAAGAATGATGAAATTGTTGAAGAAATTTCCAAGGGTAGTCAGAAAATTTCGGATACCGCCAAAGCAGCTGATGAGAAAATACCAACGAAGAAAATCAATGAAACAATAGGAGAGACTGTGACGGAAGTTGCGGAAACTGCCAAGCACATTAAGGATATAGCAGTTAAAGAAGTGAGCAAAGATACAAAGAAAGATAACTTGACAGCAGATGTCTATGTTGCTGCTGAAACTGCGGAAGGTACGAAAGAAAAAGTAAAAAGGGTTAAAGAAAAAACCAGTGGTTTTCTGTCTGGTATATTTAAAGGCGCTAAAAATACTGTGGAAGATACAACTGACGACATTAAAGAATTTTTAGATGAGACTAAAAGTGAAGCATTATTAGAAAAAAAACGTATAGAAGAAGATGTCGCAAATATTAAAGATTTCAAGGATACAGAAAGTGCTATGATTGTAGGAATTCAAGAAGCTGCAGACAAGGTCATCACTGACGTAAAAGACACACAAGATGAAATCGTCTCTGCAGTAGAAGACAAAAAAGATAAAATTGTCGAAAAAGTTTCCACAGATGCGCAGAAAGTTACCGACGCTACAAAAGAAGCTAATGAAATAATAGCAGATAAAACCAAGAAAATCAGTGAAAAAGTGGAGGAGACTGCGGCAGAAGTTGCACAAATTGCACAGTATACTAAAGATGCAGCAATTAAAGAGGTAAAAGATGACACAAAGTTAGTGAAAGAAAAATTAGCAGCTGGCGCTGATGCGGTAGCAGAAACTGCGGACGGCACAAAGGAAAAAGTAACAAAAGAAGCGAAGAAAGCTAAGGAAAAAACAAGTGGTTTCTTTTCTGGTATTTTTAAAGGTGCGAAACACGCTGTAGAAGATATGACAGACGACGTTAGAGAATTCTTAGATGAGGCGAAAAAAGAAGCTGAAATCGAAGAAGAACGTGTCAAAGAAAAGGCTGCTGCAAGTCTGAAAGATAAAAAAGACATTGTTAGTGACGTTCAAGAAACCGTGGACAAAACCGTCGATAAAGCGAAAGAAGCAAAAGATAAAACCGTCTTTACAGTAAAAGACAGAAAAAATAAAGTTGTCGAGGAAGTTTCCAAAGATGCGCAAAAAGTTGTAGACGCCACGAAAGCAGCCGATGAGAAAGTAGCAGATGAAACCAATAAAATCGGAGAAAAAATGAAGGAAACTGCAGCAGAAGTTGTACAAATTGCAAAGGATACTAAAGATGCAACAATTAAAGAGGTAAAAGATGACACAAAGTTAGTGAAAGAAAAATTAGCAGCTGGCGCTGATGCGGTAGCAGAAACTGCGGACGGCACAAAGGAAAAAGTAACAAAAGAAGCGAAGAAAGCTAAGGAAAAAACAAGTGGTTTCTTTTCTGGTATATTTAAAGGTGCAAAACATGCCGTAGAAGATGCTACTGATGACGTCAAAGAATTTATGAATGAGGCGAAGAAGGAAACTGTTTTGGAGGAAGAGCGCACTAATGAAAAAATTGCTGCGGGGCTTAAAGATTTGAAAGGTAAAAAAGACATTGTCGCAACTGAGGTTCAAGAATCCGTAGACAAAATCATCACTCATGTGAAAGACACGAAAGATGAAACTATTACTACTATGAAAGATAAGAAAAATAAAATTACAGAGAAAGTTTCCAAAGACGTTCAAAAGGTTACTGATACCACAACAATAGCTGGTGAAAAAATTGCAACAGAGGCGAAGAAATTTGGTGAGAAAATGGAAGAATCTGCAACAGATGTCGTGCAGGATGCGAAAGGTGTTAAAGATGCAGCGATTATGGAAATGGAAGAAGATACAAAATTCGTAAAAGATAAATTAGCAAAAAGCGCTGATAGTGCTGTAGAAACTGCGGGCAGTGCAAAAGATAAAGCAACAAAAGAAGCAAAAAGAGTTAAAGAAAAAACTAGTGGATTTTTTTCTGGTATATTCAAAAGTTCGAAACATGCTACGGAAGATATATCTCAGGATGAGAAGGAACATTTAAGCGATGCTAAAAAGGAAGCGACTAAAGAATTGGAAGAGTTAGATCGCGAGAAAGATGATATAGTGCATAGTGCAAAAGAAGCTATAGGCAAAACCATGAAGGATGCCGAAGATAGAACAGTTTCTATCGCGGAAGATACAAAAGACAAGTTTGTTGATATAGCTGATAAAGACATAGATAAAGCAACACATGATTTGAAAGCAGCTCGTGATGACGTAATTACAAAGACCAAGGACGTAGTCGAAAAAGTAGAAACCTCCATGGTAGATGTTGGGCATAATATTAAGAATGCAACTGAAATAGAAATAAAAGAAGACGCTACCGTTATAAACAAAAAATTATCTGCCAAAGCTGAATCTATTTTGGATTCAGCAGAAGTCACTAAAGACAAGACAACTAGAGAGGCGAAGAAAGCTAAGGAAAAAGCTAGTGGTTTTTTTTCGGGAATATTTAGAGGATCGAAACATTCCATGGACAGTGTAGTAGATGATGTAAAAGAATTTCTGGACGAAGCGAGAAAGGAAGCAGCGTTAGAGCAAGCACATGTCAACGAAGCAGCAGAAGCCAAACTAAAAAATCTTGAGCTCAAAACCGATCGCGTGATTTCCGAAGCAAAAGAAGTTAAAGATCGTATTGCTGAGGAAATAGTTGACCAAGTCGACAAGACTATTGACGGCACTAAAGCGACAAGCGATCATTTAGTTACAGATACAAAACAAATTGCTGACGATATCGCACAAAGTGTTGCAAATGCTAAAGATAGCGTGGCAAAGGAAGTAAAAGAAGATGTACAAGTAGCGAAAGAGAAATTAAAGGCAGGTAGTGATGCTGTAGTAGAAAGTGCTACGACTACGAAAGATAAAGTAATTAAGGAATCAAAGAAAGCTAAAGAAAAGGGTAGTGGCTTTCTTTCAGGAATATTTAAGAGCGCGAAGCATTCTGTAGAAGAAGTATCTGACGATGTAAAAGAATCTATAGATGAGACAAAGGAAACTACTTTCAAACAAGAACGAACTAAGGAAAAAATCGCTGCAGACGTTAAAGATTTGAAAGATACAAAAGAAACTCTTGTTACTAATATTCAAAATGTTGCTGATAAAACCGTCACAAAAGATGCTAAAGATAAAACTGTCTCCGCAGTAAAAGACAAAAAGGATAAGGTTTTCGAGGAAGTTTCTAAAGATGCGCATAAAGTTATTGACACCACGAAAACAGCTGGTGAGAAAGTAGCAGATGAAACGAAAAAAGTCGAAGAAAAAATAGAGGAAACTGCGGTAGATGTTGCACAAGCTGCCAAGGATACTAAAGATTCAGCTATTAAAGAAGTAAACGAAGATGCAAAATTAATAAAAGAAAAATTAACTACAAGTGCTGATGCTACCGTAGAAGCTGCGGATAGTGCAAAGGACAAAGTATCGAAAGAAGCAAAGAAAGCTAAAGATAAAACGGGTCGTTTCTTTTCTGGCATATTTAAAGGTGCGAAACATGCTGCAGAAGATGCAACTAATGATGCCAAAGGATTTCTGGATGAAAAGAAAAGAGAAGCTTCAGTAGAAAAAGAACACGCTAAAGAAGAAATTACTCAAAGACTTAAAGATTTGAAAGATGAGAAAGATACGGTTGTTTCTGATATTCATCAAGCTGCAGACAAAGTTGCCGATGACGCGAAAGAGACAAAAGATAAAGTTATTTCTACTGCCAAAGACAAAATAGATAAAATTGTGGAAGAAGTTTCGATAGATGTACAGAAAGTTACCGATGCGACGAAAGCAGGCGGTGAAAAAGTAGCAGCTAAAACGAAAAAAATTGGTGAGAAAATAGAAGAAACTGCAGCGGATGTTGTGCAAGATATTAAAGATACTAAAGATACAGCAATTAAGGAATTAAAAGAAGATAAGAAATTAGTAAAAGGAAAATTGGCAGCAGGTGTTGATACTACTGTAGAGGCTGTGGATGGTACAAAAGAAAAAGCGATGAAAGAAGCGAAGAAAGCTAAAGAAAAAACGAGTGGTTTCTTCTCCGGAATATTCAAAGGTGCGAAACACGCTGTAGAAGATGCAGCTGATGACAAAGAATTTTTAGATGAAATCAAAAAGGAAGCCGCTTTGGAAGAAGAACATGTCAAAGAGACGCTTGACGCACGAATAAAAGATCTAAAAGATAAAAAAGATGCTGTTATAACTAAAGTTCAAGAAGCTGCTGATCACGCCATTACTGATACGAAAGATGCGAAGGATAAAGCAATTTCCAAAATTGAGGAAGAACTTTCAAAGGATGCTAAGAAAGCAAGAGACATTACCACAGATATTACGAAAAGTGTTAAGAACACTAAAGACGCAGGGATTAAAGAAGTAAAAGAGGATACGATAAAAATAAAAGAAAAATTGACAGCAGATGTTGATGCTGTTGTGGAAACTGCAGACAGCATAAAGGATAAAGCAACGAAAGAAGCAAAAAAAGCTAAAGAAAAAACAGGCCGTTTCTTTTCTGGTATATTTAAAGGAGGAAAACATACCGTGGAAGACGCAACTGACGATATTAAAGAATTCTTGGAGGAAACGAAAAGAGAAGCTTCATTAGAAAAACAACGTGCTAAGGAAGAAGTTGCTGCAAGTCTCAAAAATTTGAAAGATAAGCAAGATGCTGTTATTACTGAAGTTCAAAAGGTCGCAGACAAGGCCATCACCGATGCAAAAGGTGCAAAAGATAAAACAATGTCTACACTAAAAGACCAAAAAGATAAAGTTGTTGAGAAAGTTGCCGATGCCACGAAAGCAGCTAAAGAGGAAGTAACAGATGAGACCAAGGAAATCGGAGAAAAAATGGAGGAAACTGCGGCAGAAGTTGCACAAACTGCTAAGGATACTAAAGATGCAGCAATTAAAGAAATAAAAGAAGATGCAAAATTAGTGAAAGAAAAATTAGCACTTGGCGCTGATGCAGCATCAGAAGCTACAGATAGTGTAAAGGATAAAGTGTCGAAAGAAGCGAAAAAAACTAAAGAAAAAGCAGGTGGTTTCTTTTCTGGTATATTTAAAGGTGCTAAACATGCTGTAGAAGATGCTGCTGACGATGTTGAAAAATTTCTAGATGAAACAAAACATGAGGCAGAATTAGAAGAAGCTCGTATTAAAGAAGCTGCAGTTGCTGATATAAAAGAATTGGAACATAAGAAGGATGCTGTTGTTAGTGATGTGAAAGACACGGCAAATGGAACTGTCGCTGAAATAAAAGAAGCTAAGGATAAAACTGTCGCCGCAGTAAAAGATACGACAGATACAGTTGCTAAAAAAGCTTCGGAACATATTCAGAAAGCGGTTGATGCAGGTAAAGCTGTTAAAAACAAAGCAGCATCAGAAGTAAAAAAAGCTGGTGAGAAAGTGGATTCAACATCACAAGACATTGCATATGGAATTTCGCATTCGAAAGATACAATCATTAAAGAAGGTGGAGATGAGGCCAAAATAATCAAAGAGAAAATGTCAATTGGAGTTGAAGCTGTAACTGAAAATGTTGACGCTGTTAAAAATAAAGTAGTTAAAGGAGCAAAGAAAACAAAGGAAAAGGGATCTGGTTTTCTGTCAGGCATATTTAAAGGCGCCAAGTATTCTGTTGAAAGCACGGCAGACGATGTTAAAGAATTTCTAGATGAAACGAAACGGGAAGCGGAATTAGAAAAAACTCGTGCTAAGGAAGCAGCAGCAGCTGGATTGAAAGAACTAGAACATAAAGAAAATGCTGTTGTTATTGATATAAAAGATGCGACTGATCAAGCTGTTACTGAAATAAAAGATACCAAGGATAAGACTGTTGTCGCAGTAAAAGAGTCAAAAGACAAAGTTACTGAAAAAGTCTCTGAAGATATTGTTGTTGTCGCAACTAAAATAACATCCAAAACAAAAGAAATCGGCGAAAAAATTAATTTGATGGGTCTTGACATTGCAGAAGGAGTTGCAAGTGCGAAAGACACAGCCGCAAAAGAAGTTCAGGAAGGTACAAAAGAGATGAAAGAAAAATTAACGATTGAAATTGAACAAGTAGCAGATAATGCGAAGCATGTAAAGGATAAAGCAGTTTCTGTTGTTAAAGATCAAAAGGATAAAATTGTCGAAGAAATTTCTAAAGATGTGCAGAAAGTTGCTGATACCACAAAAGCAACCGGCGAGAAAGTAGTAGCAAAAACGAAAAAAACCGGTGACAACATAGAAGAAACCGCAATAGATGTTGCACAAGCTGTCAAAGATATTAAAGATGCAACGGTTAAAGAAGTGAAAAAAGATACAAGGAAGATGAAAGGGCAGTTGACAACAAGCGCTGACTCGGCCGCGGAAGCTGTGGATAGTGCAAAAGATAAAGCGAAGAAAACGAAAGAAAAAACAAGTGGCTTTTTTTCTGGGATATTTAAAGGTACAAAACATACTGTAGAAGATGCATCTGGCAACGTCAAGGAATTTTTGGATGAAACAAAAAGAGAAGCTTCTATAGAAAAAGAATACGGTGAGAAAGAAATAGCCGCTGATCTCAAAAATTTGGAAGACAAAAAGGACTCGGCGATCGCCGGAATCCAGGAGGTAATAGACAAAACTGTCGCTGATGTGAAAGATGCAAAGGATAAAACAGTTTCTGTCATAAAAGATAAAAAGGACAAAGTTACTGATGGCATTTCCAAAGATGCTCATAAAATTACTGATACCACAAAAGCAGCTGGTGAGAAAGTTGTAACAGAAACAAAGAGGATTGGTGGAAAAATAGAAATAACCGCGGAAAATATTGCACAAGACATTATAGATGCTAAGGATGCAGCGGCTAGAGAAGTGAAAGATGATGCAAAATTGGTAAAAAAAAAAATGTCATCTGGTATTAGCGCTGTAGCCGATGGTAGCGAAGTTGCTAAAGATAAAGCGACTAAAGGTGCAAAGAAAGTTAAAGAAAAAGGAACCGGTTTTCTATCAGGAATATTTAAAGGTGCCAAACATTCTGTTGAAAGCGCAGCAGACGATATAAAAGAATTTTTAGATGAAACGAAACGAGAAGTAGAACTGGAAGAAACTCGTGTTAAGGAAGCCGCAACAGCTGGATGGGAAGAATTAGAACATAAAAAGGATGCTCTTGTCACTGACTTAAAAGATACAACTGATCAAGCTATTGCTGAAATAAAAGATACTAAGGATACAACTATCGTTACAGCGAAAGAAAAAGTCTTTGAAAAAGTCTCGGAAGATATTCAAAAGGCTACAGATGCAAGTAAAGCTGCTAAAGACAAAATAACAACAGAAGTAAAGAAAGTTGATGATAAATTGTATTTAACAGCACAGGATGTTACACAAAAAGTTGCAGATACCAAAGATTCAGTTGTCAAGGAAGTACAGGATGATACCAAAAAGGTGAAAGAGAAATTAGCAGAAGTTGAAACTGTGGCCCATGGTGCTGAAGCAGCTAAAGACAAGGCAACTAAAGAAGTGAAAAAAGTTAAAGAAAAGGGATCCAGTTTTCTCTCGGGAATAGTTAAAGGCGCAAAACATGCTGTTGGAAGTGCAAAGGATGACGTTAAAGAATTTCTAGACGAGACAAAGCATGAGGCAAAATTAGAAATTCGTGCTACAGAAACCGCAGCGGTTGGTGTAAAGAAACTGGAACACAAGAAAAGTGTTACAAAAGAAGTAGTAGCTGATGTTAAGGACGTTAAAGATAAAGTTTCTGACATAGTGATTCAAGTAGCAGACACCACGAAGATTGCAGTTGATAAGTTAGCAACTGAAATAAAAAAGGTTGATGATAAAATGGAATGTAAAATCACAGATATTGCATATAGTACAGGGGATGCCAGAGAAAGTTTCAATAAAGAAATTAAAGAAGATACAACTGCGGTGGAAGATAAATTACTAACAAGTGCCGATGCTGTTGCTGACGGTGCCAAAGCAGTCAAAGATAAACTTGCAAAAGATGCTAAAACAGCGAAGGACAAAAGTTCTGATCTCTTGTCTGGAGTTCAGAGGGCAAAGCAAACCGAAAAGGAAATTTCCGACGACGTGAAGGACTTTCTGGAAATAACCAGGCAAGAAGCAACTACTGATGAAGTACTCGCTAGAGAAGTCGTGGCGACGAGATCAAAAGGACTCGAAAAGGCGAAGGATAAAGCCATTGGTGAAATTAAAACCTCTACGGATAAAGTTGTGAAAGGAACGAAAGACGTTAAAGAGAAGGGTATTTCCAGCATAAAAGGTGCAAAGGACAAAACGATCTCTCCTGTGAAAACGACGGGAAGTAAGACAGGGCATAGTATGGCGCAAGCTGGGGAAAAAGTTAAGACTATTGATCAAGGTGTGATACAAAAGACTAAACGTACAGAAGCAAAAGAAGATACACGTGTAGTCAAAGGAAAATTGACGACTGGTACAAGCGCAGTCGCCAGTACAGCAGAGACTGTTAAGGACAAAACCGCGAAAGATCCTAAAAAGGTCAAACAAAAAGCAGGTAGTTTTTTATCAGGCGTAGTGAAAAGCGCCAAGCATGCAGTAGAAGATGCAACAGATGATATGAAGGATTTCCTGAAAGAGGCCAAGCAGGAAGCAACCGTGGAAGAAGCTCGAGCTAAGAGTAATCTTGCTCAAGCGAAAGATAAATCCGCCAAATTGACAACTGACGCTAAAGAAAAATCTGTCAGTGCCGTTAAAATCGTAAGAAAGAGTCCCCCGAAGACGTCACAGTTACCAATGAACGCGAAAATCACGGGTAAAGCTTCGCCTATCACTAAGAGAACGGGCAAAGTGACTGAAATACCAGCGACAAAAAGAAAAGATGATAGAGTAGGATCGAAACGCACAGGCGAGAGTGTTCAGGAAGTAGTTCGTAGATCCGATGTAGCTGGCAGGTCAGAGACGTCCGGTGGCGTCGAGCATTTAACCGAGACAGTTAGCGTTAAGAAAGTATCTCACATTCCACAAAAGAAAAGTCTGGATAAAGAGACAGGCGCAGACGATTCGGGTAATTCGCGTAGAGTAATAGAGACAGTAACCAAAGTAGGGCATCCCGAGCCTCGCACACGGCACTCCGTCACCACAATCGTGACAAAGTCTGTGCGAACAACTCCACCGCCACCCAGTTCACTCGCCGAGTTCACTGACAGTAGAACCGAAGGTATCTTGCAATAATCTTGCGTTATCCATATCTATATCTATATATTATATATTACATATACCAGCTGTGTGTAACATGATTAATGATTAAGTTGACGCTTCTCTGTAACTTCAGTTTTACTAGTTATTCTCGTGACATCAGAGAGCAAAAAAAGAGAAAGATATATATATACATATATATATATATATATATATACATTCATGCACCTTCGTCAGTCACATTAATGAAATCTAACACTCTAATCTTTCATTCATTTTCAGTCCATTAATTTATCATCTCACGATCCGTAGAACCAATCGACAACATCCGAGACAATCATACTACCGCTTGTTCCTCTTATAATTTTCTGCGTATTGTTTTAAATTTTCCTTATGTTTCCATGTATATCGAATGGGTATATTGTTAATCGAAACCAATTTTGCATAAACGAGACGATATGTTTAATTATGATTATATTTAAGATAAAATTAAACCAGGAAGAATTCGTTATAGTATGAAGATTTAAAGAGATGTCTGAAAGAGCAACGATATACCTATATGTACTTACATTTAATTATTTGCTGCACTTATTTTCAGTTACGTCTTAACGATTTTGTTAACATCTATTTAATGCATGGTTCCAGGTTTTTGCGCTACTTTTTAAACGTCTCTCTTACCACAATGGATAATTTTCCTAGTATTACTTCTTGAACGCCGAATTCTTATTTTGTCGCTCCAATCGTGTCTCTTTTTTTCGTTTGTAGCGTATAACATATAGAGATCACGTGTTTACGATTATGCGGTAATTATGTCTCATTGAAATTAACAGGAATACCACAACTAGTGAAGCATGAACCGAGGTATGCCATGCAGAGAAAAAAACATCATCCATCATCTAATCTTTGTTGAATCATTGCTTTCAATGTCGTATTTGCCGATTCCCAATGTAAACTCAATATTTTTTTCTGTGTGAACTTTTCAGACGTGACTAAAGAGGCTGCACGACGGGCACAAAACCTGGCGCACCAGGCGTACACCTCGACGAAAACAGGTAATGTAAAATCGACTCGGATAAAATGTAAAAGAGTTCACGTACGCGGATCATCATCTCCGATAGAAGATCAATAATGGTAGAAAACTTTGTTTTTTGGTGCCCTCATTTATATTTAGCTTTATCTTCCATAGTTAGCACCTGCCGACGCTTTTACACTAACTGATACTATGCGCACGTCTCTTACTAAATAGTTACCGAGTCTCTTTTTTTATATTGTTGAAGACAAGAGATAGAGCTTTTATATTGCTCGAAAAAATTAATCTATTATATATACAATATAATATATATTCGTCGAGTAGTTTAGTCAGTTACATAGCGTGTCTAGCAAATTATGGTATCGTTATATCGATGAGGAAGTGATCTCTCTGGGAAAAAAGACAAAGAAATATAGTTTAGATTTTACTTTTTTTAATTAATTGCGTGATCTTAAGAAAAGTTTGGAATATTTCAAATGCTTTCGACGCGACATTTGTCTGCTTCGAAATAAATAATGGTACATTTTAGTAAGACTCAGACGCTACAACCAGACACCGTTTTTTAATGAGTGTATTCTCTTTCGTTTTCGATAAACAGACTAATCCTAGTTGCAATATTGATACTAACTAAAAAAAGAACTAAATGAGCGGGCAGAACCTCAATGCACGCGCACACGCATCATGCGCGAGACGCATCTCTCCGGGATTGCTTCTCCTATATCCCAGCGTGCGTGCGTGCGTGCGTGCACCAAGCGCAAGTTTTTCGTTAAGTTAGTGCGTAATGTGCGCGTACACGTGTGTATGCGAGGAAAACACTCTCCGAATCTTTCCAGTCTAACTTTGGCAGCTGGGCTAGAGTTAAAATTCTTAGTGTGTATCAATGTGCTTTATGTCCTTGTTCCTGTTCTTGTCCATGTCCTTTTGGATGGGTCAGGGCATGATTCGGCTGAGATTGATGGGACTGTAGAGAGGCATGCTACTTCTGCTCCATCAAAACAACCTGTTCCCGCCCCGCGTCTCTCCACCACCAAGCCGTCTACCAAACCCGAGTTCCATCTGGAGCTTAGTGATGCCTCACGAACACATAAAACGATCGAACAATCTTCCAAGCCAACGCAGGAGATGCAGTCACCGAGCAAGAGCAGTCCAAAGAACAAGATACCTTTCAAAATTGAGTCTCACGCGCCTAAATCGAGCGACGATCCCGAATCCGTTCCAATAAAATTCTCGGAAGATCACGCCATCTATCCACAGACAGTTTCACAAACTGTCAAATACGTTACTAAGGATAGGGAATTGATCAAAGAGACGATAGAGGAGGAAAAAAAGATACCATCGAGTGATGCGATCCAGATAGTTAAAACGGACAATTTGACCGAGATATGCAGTAGAACGGAGATAATGCCTTCCGTAGAGCAAATACGAACAACTACAGTGACCAACGATTCATCGATTGATCCTACAAAATTGAAGGAGCTTTTGGAGACTGGTGGTATTGTAGAAATGGTGAGGACTGTGACTTTGACGTCAGAAAACGATACTTTGCAACCTGTAACGCGTGAGGAGGTTGTTAAGAGGATAAACCAGGTCGTTCATACGCTACCTAGCGAGATCTTCGATTTCGGCGATTCCTCTACCACTACGATAAGGTCCGGCAGATCAGAGTCCGATGGTGTTGCGCCGATGGTGCAACATGTGATGTCCGAGACGTCAGATATTGAGAAGACCGAGAGAGTGATGAGAACGATGACTTCCAGCGGCGGCAGCGGCTACGGGGATGTGGAGTCCGCTCTAAGAAGCCTTCCGGAACAATTAACGAGATCCGAAATCGAAGAGACCGTCTCTTGGACAGCGGCGAATGAACAGTGGGAGGTGCAGTATTCTCAAGACACGTCACCCGGTTCTGGAAATGGCGGCGGTGTTGACACGTTTGTCAGCAACAACAACAACAATAACAACAAAAACGATGGTAGTTCAAGGCATGATATGCACAGCGATACCGATAGTGACGGTTCGCCGCAACCTAGAAGAAGATCCCCGAGCAAGAGGCGTACGTTGGGCAGTTCCAGCGGGTCGGATGTAGCACTGCACGAAGGTGCGGAGCTGTCCCCGTTGGAGGACGACCAAGGTACCGCACTCTCACAGCTAACCTTCTGCATAAGCAATGTACATACCCCTCAAATTCTCCCTCGCTAATCGGTTACCTCCTGAATTATGTGAACGAACGAGCCCGAAAAAAAGAAAAGATATATTATATCTGTACATAGATTATTACACACGTTGAGCCTTGGTGTTAAATCCCTGCTATCTTTGTATGCAACTCCTATGCATTTTCCTGTACTTTCCGCTAGTTGCATGAAAACAGTTAATATTAGGTGGTGGAACTTGATCGATGAAGATCATCCTTGGAACGATAAAGTTGGTTGATTGAGATCATTTAAATCCTAAAGTTACAGCTATCGCAGATATACAGTTGTTCCAGGAATGTAATTTTGGGTTTGGAGACAATCAAAGATCCTCTACTAATTTATTTACAATTTGAATTTGAAATTTTCTCTCAGTTTTAATAGCTTTTTCAATTATTTATTTATAATATCTTATATAGTATGTTAAGTTTTTAAAATTTCAAAGAAATTCTTTCTTGAATTTGATATAATCAATGTCTTCATAATTCTTTAATTTTTAAGAGGACCTTTGATTTTCTATTGCTTGAGACTTGAGGTTGCAAAGAACAAAATGGGAATTACTTGTTTGAGAACTGCATGATCTGTCATGATGTTTTGCACAAAGATCAATGTCGATGGCGTCGTACGTTTTATAGAAGGGTAATGACCCCCGGAAGGAAAAATAAAGCTTGAAGTGCAGTCGTACAAATCTGCATAAAACATGCAGTATATTCTTCTTTGTGCTTCGAGGAATTGTGACAATGTACGATTAATGGTGGTCGACTAAATGTTGCTTCACGTTTGGGAAATGTTCGACCAGAACATCATTCTTTCACTTTCTTGTTTTTTTCGTTGGTCTTGACTAAGATGGAGAGGTTTGTAATTAGAGGCTTCCTGGGACTAGTATACTTTCATTTGCGATCAGCCATGTTGAACGATCGAACGTGTATCTATTATACGTCGGCGCATTGTTTATGTATTCGGTGTAATAAAATTTAATGAAGTATCTTTACGTGACTTTATCGAAATGGCGCTGACGAAATAATAGGGCATTTGTAATGATTGTACTAAGATTGCAGTAATTACTGGAAAAAGCGTCATAAATTCAGCGCGTATATCTGATCATGCTAAACAATACGAGCAAGCTTACAGAAGCTTTTCTAAAAATTGCATGAGATTATTTTCATTACTCATAATAAACAATGAAGATAGTTACGCGATTAAATCTTGAGTTTGTCTTTCGAAATTTCTTAATTTGATGATAAATTGATATATCGACAATATTTTTTCGAACCAGCGAGAGTTTAATCGTAAGCATACAGTTTAATAATGATAAAATTAATCTATCTCGATTTTGACTTTCGCGAAAATGTGGCTATTCTGTTATTTTCGGCTTTCTCATACTAATTACATGGCGGTGGAGCCATCATCCTATCAATCAGCCAGTCAATCAGTCAATTAATCAATCAACTGATCAGAATTCACATATGCGACCATAATTCATGGCAATTGATAATCTTTAAATAGCAGAAACACACGATGTGGTACGGTCGATTTGCTCAGGTAATACGATAGAACCGAAGACTAGGATGAAGACACCCGGTAGAACCAGCTGCGCGTGTTGGACGAGTATAGCTGTCGCTGTGTTGGTACTTCTAATAGCACTTATACTTGCTCTGGAGCCACAAATGTTTCGGCGTGTCATCTACACTCTGTCTAACAATGTCCCGAGGCAAGCTGGGTACGACTACCCTTCACATTATTTATTTTTTTTATTAAAAAATGTCTGTAGACCATTTTATAATATTAAATTTTTTTAAAACCAGACTGTTACGCCTATCAGGATAAAAATCTAAACTAATAAATATCAATATTTTATCTTATTTTCAAAAGCAACACGTCTCAAATTTTCCCTGCTTTCAATGTTTGTCAATTCGCTTAAAAAAATGATATAACAAATTATCATTCTTACGAGTTCGCTTGTGTACTTTTATGAGCGAAGATTAAGAAATTCTGAAGTTATAATTACACATCAATCAGATGATTGTTTTGAACGTGTCACTTTTGAAGAAAATATTCATAATTCATATAGATATCTTTGATTATTGTGCGAGGTGTGCTTAGAATTTGTATCAATATTATATTATAAGTATGCAATGTTCTATCGATAATGCATAAAACATTATCGATTGATATATTTATCCGAATGTGATATTCTCGCGTACAATACTGAAATCTACTTTTACGTTTTTTAGATCATTTGCAATCGCAATGATTTTGAAATTAGTTTGCGTAATAACTACTTATAAGCATGTGCGTCCACAAGGAAACGCAAAAAGGGCATTTGCCCCCCCCCC